CTCAAATACACATCTATGTCATTTCCTGGCTGTCTTGGACCTGAAATTATCATACACAACATGACATATTTGCGCTTCATGCATAACCATGGTGGAAGATTGTAAATTATCAATAAAACGGGCCATGAACTATGGTTACTACTTAAATTTCCAAAAGGATTCATCCCATCTGTTGCTAATCCAAGTCTAAGGTTTCTTGCATCACTACCAAAACTTGGAAATAGACGGTCAAAATTCTTCCATTGGGGAGAGTCAGATGGATGCCGCATTTGCCCATCACATGTTTTTCTCTTTGAATGCCAAATTAAATTTTCAGCATCTTCGTGAGCGTACAACCGCCTAAATCTTGGAATAATTGGAAGATACCATAAAACTTTTGTAGGAGGACGTTTTTTACCACTCTCCTGACTACAATCATCACCATCCTTCGCTTTGTAACGTGATACACCACATGTTGGACATTGGTCTAAAGATGAGAATTCTTTCCTATATAACACACAATCATTAGGGCAAGCATGTATCTTCCTATATTCTAAACCCATCGGACATAGTATCTTCTTCGCTTCATACATACGGTCCGACAAGGTGTTATTGTCTGGGAGCATCTCCTTCAAAAGTTGGAGTAATTCATTAAAACTTGTATCACTCCAACCAAATTTGGCTTTTAGATTGACCAATCTTAACACAGATGACAACCGTGTGAAAGTTGTACATCCGGGATACAAAGGTGTCTCTGAATCGGTCCTCAATGTATCATATATAGATGCATGTGCTTCAAGAAACCTCTCTTGACCCACATCACAAAGCATGTCCTTTATTCGATCTTCGCAGGTTACATCATCCTCAATAGTTTGTGATACTTGTTGGAATATGAACCACTTCACCGTGCCATGTCCATATTGTGTAATTCTTCATCATCCCATCGCAAATAAGATGCTCCGCGTTGTGTCCATCTCTTGTACTCTGCCATTTACACAATTAACGCATGGGCGGTAGATTTTTCCATTCATTTTGGGAGCATTTTGTTCGGCAAATTTAAAAAGGAGTCAACTCCATTCTCATACTCTTCTGACATACGACTTGCATTGACCCAAGTTCGATCCATCTAACTACATAAGAAGGCTTGCCTAGATATTCAAGGTTTATTAGAAAAGGTTTAACAAAACAATACAAAAAAACGTGTACATTGCCTAACAATGCTCTAATGTTCCATACATGCTCTAATGTTCCATATACCACTTCGAAAGCTAAAGCTAAAGCTAAAGCTAAACCTAAACCTAAACGAAACCTAATGTTCCATATACCACTTCGAAACCTAAACGAACCTAGATCAAATCAAACCATATATACAAAATCATCCATCATCTTTCTAATGTTCATACGCAGGAAATGCTCTAAATAATTCATATTTATGTTAAATGCATGTTGTAAATCATCCATGCAACTTAATCTAACTCGATGAGAGCGCGACGAGTGGGCGGCGAAGGAGGTAGCGATGGCGAGGGGCGGAGCGCGGCGAGTGGGCGGCGAGTGGGCAGCGAGACCACAGCGAATGAGGTAGCAGCGGCGAGGAGGCAGAGCGAGGGCCGGCGAACCAGGCGGCGAAGGCGGCGAGAGGGCGGCGAGGGGCAGCGGTGAGGACCGAGGCACGAAGAAGAAGAAGCAGAAGGAGGGAGTATGTGGGACGAAGAAGAGGCAGACGAAGGGGAGCGCGAAAGGCGAGAGGTATAAAGGACATTCAACGTCGGTTATTAAAAACCCGACGTGGATAACGCTTCGACGTCGGGTAAATCATATAACCGACGTTGATTTTGGAGTTCAACGTCGGTTATACATAACCGACGTTAAATTTAAACATTTAACGTCGGTTATAATATAACCGACGTTGAATTTCCAAATCAACGTCGGTTATAATATAACCGACGATGAATTGCAGTTACTACGTCGGTTATTATGTAACCGACGTTAAATTTTGCCTCATAATTACAAGTTTGCCATCAGCGTCTTGTACAACGTCGGTGTTACGTGATAGCCGACGTTGTATGCTTGTCGTAGAAAGTGTTTTCTCGTAGTAGTGTTTATAAGTATTATTAATTAGATGTATATTTTGAATTGTTAATTTTAGTTTAATTTATTTTTATATCAAAGTTATTAAATTATCTAATAAAAATATAACGTGAAAATAATATATTATTAACTATTTGTCAATTATATTCATAATATACACCAATAAATATTTATATCATACATTTTTGTTAACATGGATAAAAAATAAATAATATATTGACTTATTTTATATAAACAAAAATAGACTAATTTGATCTTCATAAAATTAGAAAAATAAAAAAATAATAAGATGGAAAAATCTAGTTAACCTATTTTCTTCATTGTTTTAAAGAGTTAAATATACTATTTATATTTTGTGTTCATAAATGAATAATTTTATGTGATACTAAATTAATCATTTGTTAATTATATAGGATTTATTCAAATGACTTTTTGTTTACAAATATTTGTAAAAATAAAAAAGATAAAAAATATTTTTTTAATTAAATAAGTTAATTTTTGACAAAAGATTTCATAGTAATTTATCTAAAAATTTATTTGTAATCCATGAAGTTGATTTCATCTTCTTTCTATTTTTTAAATATGTTTATAATAAGTTTATCCAAATAAAAAATTAAATGATTTATCAATTACTAACTCGAAATGTTTGTACCCTTTTCGATTTTATTGAATTTAGTTGACATACATTCACTGACATATATATACTACAACAAACATTTTTTAATTTTCGAAGAATATATATTTTTTATTTTAATCATTGTAATTTTTTTTTAATTCTTTAAATTTGATAAACCAATGTAATATTGTAAAATGATTAATATTTTTATAACCACTGAAAATTTTACATTTTAAAAATAAAAATATATTTAAATCTGTTAATAGTGTTATTTAGTTAAATTATTGGATAAAGAAAATGCGAGTATGAAGATGATTGGAATTTATATTTGTGTCTGTGTACACGTGTGGCTTTCTAAGTGTTTTGCATAGGCACCAATTCTATATAAAATTTCGAGTACAAATAGTCAAAAGGTTGAAGAAAGTGGGTGGGTAAACTTTCACTTGAGAAAACTATTCATTTAAAAAAAAATACTTTTAACGCATACATAATCTAATTGTAATAATAAAAAAGGAAAAAGGAAAAGAAAAAGAAAAAGACAATAATTTCAAACAAATTCTATACTGATGCTACTTCTACAGTCATAAACTACGTTTCACATTTACTTTCTCCATTTCTTTTGCTTTTTCTTTTACGAACGACATATAAATAATTTCAAAACATAATTAACCGTGTAATATATATATAATGTGATACTTTAAAAAACGTTAAATTATTTAATTAATTTATGTTCTCATTTTAAATTTTATTTCTTAGACTGTAAAATTTAGTCTTACACAATTTATATGTGAGAATGTTATCATTATCGTAATTTATACGATTAAAATTTCTCGTATGGATCAAATTTTAACTTTTATACATATTTAAAGACATAATTTAATCTCTTCACATTTTTTTAATTAATGCATCAAATAATTGAATAGCTGTCATACATTAACAATTAATTATTATTACATGGATTTCTTTCTACATGTACACCATTGCTTGACCTAAGTCAACTAGTTTATTGTTAATTTTTCTTCTTTTCAATCCAATTCATTTTGTTTAGTTTTCAATTCCAATTCATTTTTATTATTTTCCAAACATAACTTATCTATTCATGTTTGACTGAGATAAAGACTGAAGACTATGATTCTACGTTAATGGTTTGATATATAATGCTATACTCTTCATATACAATGAAGTTTGGCAAAGAATAAAGTGATGAACTAAACAAACCTACATAATGGAGTTTGGCATACATAACAAAGTGGTAGCTTTTGGGTGAAAATATGTTTTAAATAATTCAACGTGGAGGTTGGCTACTCACAAAAATAGTTTAAAGTAGCTTTTTTTCCTCTAGCAATGGATAATGCGTTATTTGAAAACTGAATTTTGTAAACTTTTTATTTACTAATGGGTATTTAATTCTTTGAAATGTCGAAAGATTCGTGTGTAGTAGTTTCAATCTTCTGTTTTTTTTTTTTTTAAATTAGAATATTCATCTGATAATTATTTTATTATAATGGATTTAAAAATTAAGAAACGAAAATTAGAATTATGAAAAAAGTTTTCTAATTTAATTTCTAAAATAGTTTTTTTTTAAATTGATTATTATTCTTTTTTAATAAAACTAAACCTAAGTGTTTCATATTTTTCAAACCTAACCTTGATTGAAATTTTATAATTTTTAATAATTAATTATATGGTTATGGTTCCAACATTCAAATAACAGAAATATTTTTTTCTTTTTCTTGTAAAAAAAAAATGAAAAGCCAAATTCTTACTATCCCCTAATAAATTAGAGTGTTATAATAAGTCAGTTTAACTCACAAACTATATATCAATCAAATATAAATATCATAATATAGTATTAAATTCATATAATTATTTATGAATTCGTAACACACAAACTAAAATAATTGATATATTATATCAATCAAATACCTTTAATCCATATAATCTAATTGTAAGAAGATTCTAATAGTATTTGTTATATATTTTAATTTAATTTAAGGGATCTTCATTTTTCTCTTAGGATATAGAGAGGAAAATTATTTCTTTAATTTAGTGTATGGGAAATCATAAATATGTCATATGCTTTATAAACTATTATGATATCTATTATCTCTTAATGGAAAAAACTAGTTTTTGCTTATTAACTTATATTATTTTTTTAGTTATCTAACAATTTTATTAAATTATATTATTTATTAAAACTTATAAAATGGTTTACAAGGCCAATACAAAGTTGACTTAGAAAATCCCAACTTGCTAAAATTTTAAAGCATTGTCAAATGGAAAATAAAACAGATGTTAAACAATATTACAAAGCAAATTAAGCAATTGGGTATGAGGCATCCATTGCAATGCCACATAGACCTTCTTTGGCATCTATGCCTCGTTCCATTCTTACGTATCCTTCTTCACCCCATTCTGTACCCCATGAATTCTTCACTATCCAATATTCAGTACCATTATCGGTGCTACCATAACCAACTGCAGTAACACCATGGTCTAGTTGAGTTCCACATTGCCCTGTGAAAACCCCACTTGAGTAAAATTGGAAAGAAGATCCTCCAGCATCAATGGAAACCGACACTGGTTGGTTTGCCACAGCTTTCTGTAACGCTTCCTCACTATTAGCAGGTACTGTTTCATACCCTTTTATTTGAGCTTCAGGAGAAGCCTCCTTGTTTGTGTCACAAGTTTCGTTAACTCCAGTGTAGGGGTAGTTTGCCTCAGTGGTGATTCCACCATTTTTTATAATGAATTCGAAGCCATCTTCCATGAGACCTCCATCACATCCATGATCCACACTGTCACAATCCACTAACTCTTGCTCTGAGAGGGACACTAGCTTACCTGTAGTTATCTGGTAGATACCTTCTGTTGCAGCAACTGTTGAAAATGCCCAGCAGCTACCTGGTTTTGAAACAAAATTTGGTTAATGAAACGCAATTGTTAAGAAAACAACATAAATTAACAGTATCACTTGTATTGTATGGTTATGTTTGTGTTACTACCACATTGGCCTTGGTCCTTGATTGGAGTAACAGCTCCATTTTGCCTCCAATCCACTGCAGTAGGAATATCAGTAACGTTTTCATACTTAAATGGTGTTTGTGTTGTTATTCTCAACTCATGCGATCTCTTGTATCCATTATGGGAAGCAATAAATTCCTCATTGGTTTGGTCAGCTAGGTGATTGATGCCAAGCTTGTACGGTTTGTTCCCAGCAGCATTGAAAGATTCAATGAATTGAACATTGTCCTTGAATACGAGGAAACGTTTTTCCTTCTCAACAGCATCCTTATATAGTTTACCATATTTTTTCATCCATTGTTCATGTCTTTCAACCATGGATGCATCATGGAGGTTGCGGGACATTACTTGGGATGAGCAAATTGAGAGGAGGAGAAGTAGAGCTAAAACATGGTGGTTTTTGCCAACGGAAGCCATGTCTTTGTAACAATGACTCTTGATTAATCGTATCTAGAAAGCACTAATGAGTTTTGTGTTTGGAATATAAGTAAATCTGTATGCCCTGAAGCAATGTTTGGAATGGTATATATAGAAGAAGTACTCTCTCTAAAAGAATATTGTTTTTAATCAGAATGAGAATGAGAATGAAGTTATTTTCTAATGAAAGACCCTTCTTAGAGCATTTAGATCCTTTTCTGCGTTAGAAAACAAAACAGGGGCCAACAAAGTGTGGAGATTTTGTTCCAAATATATTAGAAGATCACATATTGATGTTTGACCATGTACATAGAAAACTTTATTAAGGAAAGAGAAACAAACAAAAAATGGAATGAAAGATAGCAGACATTATTAATTTTGAGCAATCAAATAAGTTAACATTAGTAAATGCCACATCTTGTGTTGTATCGATCATTAGATTACAACAAGTGTTGTATTTGATCAATCAAATAACTTTATCAACTTAGTATATTAGATGCCACATTTTGAACTTTGGACTCCTACTAATGTGATGCACCTCGTCAAATCAAATATATTTGTGTTTATTCGTAGGCGAATTTTTATCTTATTGTCCCCTCTCCTTCTTTACATTTATTCTTTGTTGAAGAAGACTATATTATATTATAATGCTATTCTACATCAGTTTTAGTAAAAAAATTATATTTATTTTAAAATCGTTATTAAGAAAATTGTCTTTGAATGATAGTGATTCAATATCGGTTATGAATAAAACATGCACTTTTTTATATCGATTATTTTATATCATATATATAAAATATAAAACACAATTTATATCTTTTAAATACATAATTCAGTTGAATTATGTACAAAATTATGGAATATAGTCTAATTTTTTATATCGATTGTCCATATATAAAATAATATCTTTTTAATATTTTGTCTCTGATTTGAGATTTTTATCTTTTAAAAATACAAATTTCTAATCCAAGGTCAAACATAATTGAATTCTTGAAACCATCGTAAATTTTTAGAGGGTGTTGGCGTTAGCTAATGAAATTAAGCAAGAGTCTTGGAGAAAATGGTAAAACTTGATATTTCTAAAGTTTATTTGATTTGATTAAGATAATTGTGAAGTATTTTTTTAAATCGGGAAACAAAATATATATTTTGTAAATGTTACGTATAGATGAACAGATAAGTGAAATAATACAATTTAGAAAAATTTATTTGTATCCTTTTGATGAATTATTGGTAACCGTACTCAAAATTATCAATCGTATTATAGTATTTCGATTAAATAAAAGTTGATCCCACGATGAATGATTTTAATGGAAATTCTCAATTTTATACTTACTAAGTAGATTAAAACAGAATGAGTTTTGCATAAAGAGTTGAATTGAAATTAAATGACAAAGAACTGTAAATTGTTGAGAAAATATCAATTAAAAGCATTTAGGATTGATTTCCTTCCTTATCCCTCTTTTGTAATGACTATGTCAATTAACCTAACAATGTTGATGTCACCTACTCAAATCATCCATGTTGATTCCTCACACATGAAATTCATAAGAAAACATAATAAATGTTGATTCCTCACATAATTAAGAGATTTTCCAACATTAGGTTTAGTGTATTAAACAATTGATACATTCATTCAATTCCTGACAATTAACGTAACAAATATTCTTACCGTGATCTAGGATTCAAGATATATTTTCCAATCATACCTCAAACAATCAAGAATAAATCATTCCAAAGCATAAAAGATAAAAATAACAACATCAAAACATAGATTAATATATCAAAATATCACCATGATACAAAAGAGTTCAAAGGAAGTGCACCGAATCCTAAGAGAATGAAGTTAGTCACTCATGTTGGCCATTACAATGCTCAAATTGTGGAAGAAGTGAAAAATTGATGAAGATTGGACGAAACCCTAGCAGTAGTCACGCCTCTTCTCCTCCAAAACCGCTTCCTTTTCTCAAAACACATATTCTCTTTTTATTGAAAAAATTTGGGATTTTGGGTTTCGCGTCTTTCGCTCGAGCGAGAACTTTCGCTCAAGCGAAAGTAGCCTGTTTTCGCTCAAGCAAATTTTCCTGCGCTTGAGCGACTGAATTCTAGAGAAGAATAACTGATATTCGTTTGAGTGAATCTTGGCTCGCTTGAGCGAGTGAATTCCAGAAAAGAATAACTAACATTCGTTCAAGCGAGAATCCATCCTGCTTGAGCGACTTCCATACTGAAAATCTTCTTCCAGTTTTACTCCAATTCTACTATCAATCATGTTCCTTACTCTTGTATCAAGATATTCTTGAATTCATCCTATATTGGGAGAAAAATAGATTAGAATTAACATCAGTTAAGTGGTTTCATAACAATTCAAGGTATAATTACATCAACTTTTTACCACTTAATACCTTTTTCAAAAGATTTTGATAAATATATTCTACACTAATTATGGAAATATCTTCATAAAAACTTTTAGGAGTAAAAAATGAAATAAATTTAATAAGCTAAAATTACTTTTTCTAAATGTAAAAAATTAAAAATTTATAAAATATTTACAAGAGAACTTCTACAAACTATAATTTATAAATAAGTCAATTTTAATTTATGATAAAACTCATTTTTCCCTAAAAGCATTTATATATTAGTTTGTCCTAATAGATTAATAATATATGTCATATTCACTAGTGCAAAAAGGGGCTTTTACGTCAGGTATTTAGGGTTTTTTACGTCGTATTTAAGACTGACGTTAAAATGGGAGACGTAAATTTACGTCGGACCCTTTAGCCCGACGTAAATTTACGTCAGTTATCAAGACCCGACGTAATTTTGCGTTGCATATACCACTAAACAGACGTAAAAACTTTTGGAAATTAAAAAAAGATAACAAATTTACATCGCATATTGGTATACGCGACATAAATTTACGTCACATATACTAATACGCGACGTAAATTTACGTCGCATATACCAAGACGCGACGTAAATTTACGTCGCATATACCATATGCGACGTAAATTTGCTGTTTTTTTTTAAATTGGGTTGATTCTGTTTTACAACTAAAACCTGCAAATATATATTACAACCAGACAGTCCAGAGGTTCAGTTTTCTTTAGCTAGTAAATTAAAAATATAATATTATATAATTCAAACTACATAATAAAACAATATAATACAAACATACAAACTAAAAAATCTATTACAAACTAAAGGTTAATACAAACTAAGCTACCTAAATTACATAATACACACAATATAATATGAACAAGAACTTAAAAAATTATGTACTAGAATTGTTGAACAAAATATTTGGCCCATTGTTCTCTAATTTGTGTAATATCATATTCTGGCAATGGAGATGGATCTTGAAATACCTGAAACATTAATTTGACTCTTGTAAACATGCAACACACATAAAGTTAAATAAACTTAACTGAAAGCAATTACCTCCGTCCAAGAATCAGTTATACCCGCATAAACTATGGCTCTCATCCAATACATAACATAGTAACCACATTCAAATGAGTCTGTTTGCTTATTACATCTGGAATGATGAATAAAATATAATGTATTTTCAAAATTTAAATACAAACAATAATTATGGTATTCACTTATTATAATTAGTTTCTAACCTTAGGATAAATGAAGCTGCAAAGTCTTTGTTCGGGTTTTTCACTTAGAATATTAGTTATAGACACATTCTAAAATGAAAAAAAAGCCATATATTATTCAATACCTTTTCCATTTTCATTAGCAAATTTCAAAAATTCATCAACTCCCTTTTCGTACTCTTCACTAATATGACGTGCATTCATCCAACTTCTATTCATATTATGTTATAAAGTTTCGTGACTCCTAGAGATTCAAAATTTATATTTAAAAATAAATTAATATACAAACAACAAAGCACGTAAATGAAGTGTGTAAACTGAAAATGCACTCAAACAAAATAATGACATTCCAATAATAATCCAGTGGAGACATTCATACAATGACGTGATTGAGATCCCCAAAAACAATCACGGATTCAATTTGAGCATATATCAGGAGATATAGAACACTAACCTCGAGTAAACACGAAAACAATTTCAAACTCGAATCCAATCGGGGAGAAATGTCAAATTCGTAAAATGAGACACAATGTTGATGTTCTTCACTGCCAAAATGATCGAAAATGGTGTGGAAAGGTAGCTGTCGTCGTTGTTCTCATTGTCGTTCTAAAAAACCCTTGCGGCGCGAGATGCGGGAGTGGGTCTGGAAGAGAATAAAAAGAACTTTTTACGTCGCACACCCTAGCACGTGACATAAAAAGCCTCTTTTACGTCGCGTCGGGGTGCGCGACGTAAAAAGTGATACTTTTTACGTCACATGGGAGGTGCGCGACGTAAAAATCACTTTTTACGTCGCACACCCCCCATGTGACGTAAAAAGTATCAGTTTTTACGTCGCGCACCCCATGTGACGTAAAAAGTGATACTTTTTAGGTCGCGCACCCCCCACGTGACGTAAAAAGTATCACTTTTTATGTCGCGCACACCCCACGCGACTTAAAAAGCTCTCTTTTACGTTGCGTTATACCAGGTGCGACGTAAAAGAGGTTTTTAACGTCACCTCCTACAATATGCGACGTAAAAATTTCACTTCTTATTTACAAAATTACCACCGCATTTTATTTACGTCGAATATTTTGACATACGACGATAATTGGGTGATGTAAAATGTCATTTTTGCACTAATGATTTTACAAGGGTTAAATATAATTGATATAAAATATTTACTTCGATTACAATATATATATATATATATATATATATAGTATTATAATACTAATTTAGTACTATATATATATATATTTTAAATAATTAGGTTTTTTCCTACATTTTTTATTACATCGATCATGTAAGGAGTGTACAACTAGAAAGAATAAATTGAAAAATATATTATTGTTTGTATGGATTGAAAACTGTGTGGGATAAGGTAGACAACTAGAAAAAAAAAAAAGAGAATGAATTGAAAATATTTAATTGATTGTTGTATGAAGCAATTTTTTTAAAAAATAAAACAAAAGACAAAGGTCGTTAGTTATAGCACACAAAGACATCATATTTTATTAAATGTAGAAGAAAAGTGTTTTCCTGCATGGATATATTTCCTCTGAGAATGAACAGAAAAATCTTATTTGTGTGAGTACAACCAACACCTGCACTCTAACACTTCTGTAACACACTTTCAAACTAAAAGCAAGCACGACACACAATTTGCATACAAAAATGATCCATTCAAACCGTTGGATAAGATGCATCCATGGCAATTCCACATAAACCACTTTTTGCAGCTATACCTCGTTGCATCTTTATGTATCCTTTGTCACCCCAATCTGTGCTCCATGAATTCTTCAATAGCCAATAGTCAGTGCCATTTTCTGTGCCATAACCCACTGCAGTAACAGCATGGTCTAGCTCAGTTCCACATTGTCCTGTGAAAACCCCACTTGCATAGAGCATGAAATCTCTACTTTCTGCATCAAGGGAAACTGACACTGGTTGGTTGGCCACAGCCTTCTTGAGTGCATCCTCACTGTTGGGAGGAACTTTCTCATACCCCTTGATTTTAACCACTGCGGGTGCTGCTGTGTCACATTTCCCATCAACGGCCTTGTAGGGATAGCTAGCCTCACTGGCGATTCCACCATTTTTTATGACGAATTCAAATGCATCTTCCATGTAACCACCTGCACACCCTCCATCTCTACCTTTTGTGTCACAAGACACTAACTCTTGCTCTGAAAGGGACACAAGAGTACCTGTGCTTATTTTGTTGATACCCTCAATTGCTCCCACGGCTGAAAACGCCCAGCAGCTCCCTAGTTTTCAAAGAAATTAATTTCAACATTGATCCAATCGTTTCAATACGATGACTTTAAGCCACATCGAAAATAGCAAGTCATCATTTGTATACATATGCAACAGTATAAAAGTGTAGTTGCATCATACATTGGAAAAGTCCATAAAAATATTGTCTTTTAGTTTCATAGTTTAACTATTTATGGTTACTATAATCTTTAAAAACATGCTAATACATACTATCACTTAAGTTTATTTTTCAATTGTATTACTTTTTGAAGATTAAAGTGATTGAGTCTCACTTTGAATCATCCAGGATAAAATTTAAAACAATAACAATGATTTAGTATTTTTAGTAACTGAAAATTTTGATATTTTTTAAATTAGCCTTTCTCTAAATTTTATTTGTATATTTCTTCAAACTATATAAGTAATGAGATGTAGGAAAATTATAAGAATACTTAATTTGAGCAAAATTATCTGAAAATTTACAACTAAAATAAGATGTAGGAAATAATAATGGTGGTGGAGCAGTGAGGATAATGAAGAACTCGTTATATGATCTTGTTTAACTTACCACAGAAACCTTGGTCTTTGACTGGAAGAACAGCTCCTTTTGCCCTCCAGTCTATAGCTTCAGGAATATCAGAGACCTTTTCATACTTAAATGGTGTTTTGCTCAACTCACGAGGAATCTTCAGTCCAGTACGTGAAGCCGTGAATTCCTCAAGTGTGAGGTCAGCAAGGTGATTAACACCAAGCTGGTAAGGTTTGTTGGCAGCAGCATTGAATGATTCAATGAACTCCACATTGTCCTTGAATATGAGGAAACGTTTTTCCTTCTCTGCAGCATCCGTATACACTTTGCCATATCTTACCATCCATTCTTCATGTCTTTCTCTCAAGGATGTCTCATGCATTTTGCGGCACGTGACTTCGGAAATCCCAACTGCAAGGAGGAGGAATATGGCAAACATGTTCCGTTTTTGTTGGCTGGTGAAAGCCATTATGTTTTGTCAACAAAAGATGTTAGTGAGATTGTGCTATAGAGAGATGTGAATTGGTTTGCATTGAAGGAAATGGCTGTGGTGGTTTATATAGAGATCGTAGAATTTATGTTATGGAATTATTAATCTGAATGTTTATCCGAGGTTGCTTTCTGGTTATAGTTTCTGTCTTTAGCAAATTTCATTTGATTTAGTCACTTGTTTGTTGTTACTAGGTGGAAGGTAGTCTATATGAGAAAATTTTCTGTAAACATTTTAAGAAAAATGAAATCAAATTTTCTTCTAAACTAAAATAATTTTTACTTTGTTAAAAATTAGATAGCAACCAACGTTGAATTTGTCAGAAACATTAAGTTTGATTTGTATAGAATGTATTCTTGAAGTATGAATATGTATTTGTTTCTTTGGCAATATCCTTAAAACAGCCAAACAACAAAGAAACAAAATGTGTTTTCATTTTGACCTTTCATTTCCTTCCGTCTCAATTTTCGATGTTAAATGCACAAGAAAAATAAGTGCTTTCTATGCAATGTAGAAGACAAGGTTATTATATTAAGCATATCCTTCAGACATCATTTTATATTGGTTTCACCTAATAATCAAGCATCTATAAAAAGACCTTGAAAAATATGTTTGAATGGTTGACCAAATATATGCATGCATAATCAATGTTATCATCAATTGCACACACAGATTTCAAAGAATTTTAATTTATTATATACAGAATTCATATTACCTATATTTTTATAGTTTGAGTTACTGGGGAAAATATTTTATAAAATTAAATTTTAAATTATCTTTATATATACATATATATATATATATATATATATATATATATATATATATATATATATATTTCATTCACCTAGTAAGGAAAAAAATTGAGTCTGGATTGGGAAAGAATAGCTGTAGAATTTTGTATTTATTATTTCTTGTACACTCAACTATTCATTCAGAGACTCCAAATCAGTGGCAGTCAAACATTATTTACTACGCCAACTATTCTGTATAGGTAACTTAGTTTATTCCTTATTTCTAAAGCTTTGGAATAACCGTTTATCATTTAAATTATTATTTTTAAATATTATTAATTCATATTCTAAATTTTTATGTTATGACTTGATATTATATACTTATTATGTATATTTTTTTTTAAACTTTAATTTTCAATTTTTATAATTATTTTAGTTAAATTTTGATTTCTACAATTTTTTAAAATATAATAAGGTATATTCAAAATATAATAAAGATGAGTGTCAATTATGAAAAATATATAAACAAAGCAAATGTTTATTTAAAAATAAAAATATAAGAGAATGGATATTTATTTTAAAATTCAAATTAAAATATTTGTATAATTTAGATTTAAAATCAAGGAATTCATATTTTTTATAATTAATTTTTTTAAATATATTTTTTAATCTAATTTATCTATTTATTTCTCTTTTAAATTAATAGACAATCTCACGTTTTTTTATTATATTTTTTTCTTCAATAAGATAAAAAACAATTATAATTTTTTTCTTTCTATTTTTAGATCTCATAATATTTCTATTAAATATATAAATATTTTTTTCTCTCCAGTAAAAATATTATAAAAAAGAAATATCCCTTATGTATAATATTTATATATGACATATATAAGTATAAATACATAAATTAAGATTTACCTACAATTTATGGATCACACATATCCATATCCCAGTAACTTCTTCCTTTCAAAATTAATATTTGAAATGATTTAGATTTCTTCAATTTTTAATGGACTCCTAAAATAATTAATCCATCAATTATTATGTTATTCAAATAATTATAACTTAGGAGTTAAATATATTTTTTTAAAGCAATGAGGGGAGATGGATGGAAATGTCCCTACATTCCCAAGAGATGATTTTGATGATGATTCAAGTCAACTACATTCAAGTCAACACCATTCAAGATGAATTAAAGACAAACTGAATTTATGACGTTGGTGAAAATGTGAAACATTTCCCTACATGCCCCAAATATGTTTTTGATAAAGATGATGATTCAAGCAAGCCCAAGATGATTCCTGAAAACTAGATAGAGTCCTAGAATACTGGATATGGAGGTACAAGTTAATAAAGTAATATTATGCATAAGCCTCAAAAGCACAAGTGTGATAAAATTCATAACATGATATTTTTCACTGTCATAATCAATTCTGATGCATCAGAAATGAAAAAATGATTTTCTCTGTCATAATTGATTATATTGGTAACATAATCAATTATGGCAATTCAAATTTGAAAAATATATTTGTTTTGAAGAATAAATATTTCTGAATATATCCTGATTTTTATTCACGAAAATAATAATGTCCAACGACCATTTTCTGATGCTATTTTTCTATTTAATTAAGTTTTGATGAAAAATAGGAAATAAACAATTACAGAATTCGAAAATACAATTTACATTCAATCAGTTTTGAGAAAAGAATTCTGAACAAGGCAACAGAGATATATTTACACCTTTTGAAAAAACCCTCTTTTCTACTGTCTTTTGTTTTTGAAGATTGACATTCTACAGGCTTCTACAATTTGTTGTCTCCATTACCCAGGTGTGTCTGTTCTTATTTTTATTACTTTCATCCTTTGTGTATTGGTGGCAAAGAAGGTGTTTTCATCCTTTGATTTGTTCAAAGGAGGTTTTCATCCCTAGTGTGATTCTAGGGAGGTGTTCATCCTTAGTGAGATTCTAAGGAGGTGTTTTTCATCCTTTGATTTGTTCAGAGGAGGTGTTCATTCCTAGTGAGATTCTAAGGAGGTGTTCATCCTTAGTAGGTTTCTAAGGAGGTGATTGTCTTTTTAATTAGTTTACTTTTTACTGGTTCTTCTGCTGAGTTGATTGTAATTTGTAAACTGAATTTTAAAGATAGTGAATGAGGAGTCACTCTTATGTTAAAAGTTGACTGGGAACTGGATGTAGGGTTGACTATACTCGAACCAGTATAAATATCTGTGCGCTCTTCTCTTTCCCTTATCTCTTTCTCTTTTCCTGATTATATTATTGCTTCTGCTTTATCTGTGTTCAAACAAATTATTGACTCACAAATAAATTTTAATTTGACATCTATTTTAATTTGTGCATCTATTCACCCCCTCTAGATGCTATTTGTCTAATAAGTGGTATCAGAGCTTGGTTAGATAAGATATTTCTAAACGATCTGTCAAGATGACTATGCAGAATCAGGTTTACAGGGAAGAAGCCTTAATAAACAGACCTCCACTATTTGAAGGTGAAGACTATCAGTTTTGGAAGGCGAGAATGGAAACATTTTTACAAACACTAGATTACGGTGTTTGGGATGCTGTACTCAATTGTCCTTACATTCCGATGAGAACAACGGAGTCTGGAGCTGTTCCAAAGACTTTTGACCAATGGACGCTAGATGAAAATAAGTGTGCCCAATATGATGTAAGAGCCCGAAACGCTATTGTTTCTGCCTTAACTCGTAATGAATTTTTCAGGGTCTCACAATGCAAGACGACAAAAGAAATATGGGACACTCTTGAAGTAATACATGAAGGAACAAACGAAGTAAAGCGAGCACGTACGAACACACTCATCCAGGAGTATGAATTATTTCAAATGCAGCAAAATGAAAGCATCACGGATTTCCAGACACGCTTCACACATATAGTAAATCACTTGAAAGCATTAGGAAAGAGTTTTGACAATGAGAAGTTGAACACAAAGATCTTGAAATCCTTAGACAGAAATTGACAACTAAAGGTCACTACTATTACAGAATCAAAGTATCTCACAAAAAATGAATATTGCTACTCTATTTGGAAAGCTGCAAGAACATGAGATGGAACTACAAAGGTTAAAGAACGGTGAACAAAATCAAACCATGACGATAGCTCTAAAAGCAGAAAAATCTTCACAAGACGAAAGTGAAAATGAAGGTAAGTTTTCGGATTCCAATGTCTTTTTTTGTTAAACAATTTTCTCGCTTTATGAAGAACAGGAAAAAGAGACAACAAAGAAAGGAGAAAACAAATAAATTCCATTACTATGAATGTGGAAAATCTGGTCATATCAAACCAGACTGTCCGGAACTTAAGAAAGAGAAGAAATATGTGAAAGAGAAGAAGAAAGAGAAGAACGATACCTATAAGAACAAACACAAAACTTATATTGCTTGGGAGGATAATGATTCTTTCACAACACAAGAGAATTCTTCCGAAAATAGTGATGGAGAAGAAGAAACAAATCTTTGCTTGATGACAAAAAGTGATGATGAAGTCTCATCACAGGTAAGTAGTACAAATTTCTTAAATGAATATGATGAGTTATTTAAAGAATATCAAGATATGTATGAAGATTTTACCAAGTTATCTAAGAAATACAATGCATTTAGGCAAAAGTTTAATGCATTAGAAAATACTGTTGGTATTCTTGAAAAAGAAAATGAGTGCTTAAAGAAAGATGTTGAGAAATCTAAAACTTTGTCTAAAAATAAAGAAGTTGTTAAACCTTGTGAAAATTGTAATCTTTTGAAAAATGAGATTTTCAAGTTAGAGAAAATAATAAGCAATTTTTCAAAATCTTCTGAAAATCTTGATTCGATATTAGATTATCAAAGAGGAAATTCTAGCAAAACTGGACTTGGTTACAAACCCAAAGAAAGTCTAGAACCTCATGAAACTATTTTTGTGAAAGAGTCAAGGAAAACAGATGTGAAACCAGTTTCAAAAACTTTAAGAAACACATTTAGACCTTTTAAAAGAAAACCAACATGTTTTATTGCATGAAATTAGGTCATACATAAAATAGATGTTACATAAAATATTTTGGCATATCTAATGGCAAATATGAATGGGTGTCTAAAGGAACAAAACATTTATACATGTCTAGATGATAATTTGAGCATCTAATTGATTATCAGAACTGAAATTTTTTTTCTTGTTGTCATAATCAATTATGTTGAAAGTTTGAAT